GACTTATCTATTATTGCTTAATAATATAATAAACATGAGTAGCTACATGTTAGTCTCAGTTACAATTAATCTTTCAAGTCTTGCCGTTTTGTGTTTATATCTACTATTATATAATATTTACAATACAATAGTATATGACAATAGAGTTTGGGTATGTTTACTCTTGTTTTCACTGAAGCCGCTTGATATAATATTATCATTATTTACCTTCGCCATCGCAGTTGATTTCGGTGACCGAACTCCTTTTGCTGTGTCTGTATGTAAAGATGTGTGTTTACGTATAATTTATAATGTGTATATATATACACTGTGTGCATAAATGTTATTCTCCAATCAAAATTCTATGTAGGATTTCAGTGACGGACTTACGGTTAAAGACGTGGCAATAGCAAGTACGAGAAACTATTGTTTGCCGTTTACACAATAATAATAATAATAATAATAATAATAATAATATATAGCTACCATATTATTATTGTTGTATTCCCGTTATCATCTGGCAGGTCTGATTTGAGTTTTAATGGGATGTGAAGAGATACTTCTCGCTTTTCGCCAAGATACGCATTGTTCAGACGGATTCGACGTAATTGTTTTAATATAATTGTATTCCTGCAGTTATACAGACCAAACGATAACGTTATTACCAAGCATATATTACATTTTATCTTTGGCTTAATTTTGGTACTATCAAAAACTAGAGATTTTTGTGCATTATTTAATATTATATAGCACATATAAAACCGAATTGTGTTTTAAATTAAAGTCATTAAAATTAGATAGGCCATCAGAATCGCGTAAAATCAAGACGGTAAAATATTGTATGTGATTTACTTCCAAACTCGATTACTGAAAATAAATTATGACCACATAGGTTTGAATTTATACACCGATGGGGAGGAAAATATACATGAATTTCGTAATCGTTTTATTATTACTATGGCTTTTTTTTATGTGAAAATAGCGACTATAGTTTTGTCATTTCCCACGAAACCGGTAACTTTCGGGCTCAGTAATTTTTCGGAGCGGAAAAAACAAAACTCTGTGGTCGTGAGACATTTGTATTCATACCAGAAACAACAAATCGTTGCAATCACCTCGGCCGATTAATTACTGCCAGTGACTGCAGCGAAGAACGCGCGCGCGGCGACTAACAAACGACTGAAGCTCTAAAAATAAATCATCAAAGGAGAGAAACTGGTAGGGAATGGAAGTTGGCTGTAAAATGAAAAACGTTCATTATCGAGTTTTTAAGAGTTTTTTAATGAAAAATCTGACGCCGGTTGGTGGCAGTTGAATATTAGCGTCAATTTGCAATCATTTTTTTCTTTTCTCCTTCAGCCATTTTTTTTTTTTTTTTAATTATTAGAAACTTTTGAATTCAGTTTTCTCAATAATTACATAATATATATATTATTAACTGCTACAACGGGGTTAGTAATTAATTAGAAGCTTTATGATTTGTTATTGCGCTCCTCAACAATGATCAAATACAAAACAAAGAAAATACCATATTATTATTATAGTTGTTGCCATAAGTTGTCAGGTTATTATAATGCACCCAAATGAAATGAATATAAAATGCTCGAGTGAAAGTGATTTCAACTCAGACGGTCACACCAATTTTTCGAGATTATAAACATTGCACTTTTAACTGGTTTACCCGTCAAATATTTGTTTGCTTAACTTATTTTTATGTTGTTAATCGATTACATAAATTTGTAGTGCTCTAACAACGGCGGAGTGCAACGAACTGGCATGAATGACAATGTAATTAATAAAAATAATATGTAATTTTGTGCATAACTATGGTAGCTAGAGCCGGTAATAGTATAGTATAGTACAAGCAGTAATACCTTTGTCAAGACTTGACATTTATTTATTACTTCTTTTTTTTTTTTTTTTTTTTTTAATGTGTCAACATATCGTATGTTTTTACAAGTTTGTTATGGTTATGATTAAAATAACGAATTTTGTTAAACGCCTCATAAACACGCGATGTATTACTATAGTTACTCGGTTTATCCACTAACGGAATGCTAAAATATAATAAAATGATTATAATATTTCTTTGACGAATGGCGATTTTTATACGGCAGTATATATCATATTGTACTCGCTAAGTTACAGCGGGGAAGAGCTTCCCGCGTATAACTAACGATAGTGAATTCAAAAGAAACCTCCCCCATCTCATCTTAACTATCTGTATAGAAAAATGATATTCTTGGTGACGAGATAGAGAAACGTTTTTGCTCGCACGATGGAATCCTCGGGTGAAAATCCGGATCCGCTTACGTATACAATATATGAACGAAGCGAGTTAAAACGCACGCGCGCGCTACACATCCATATCTATCTATAGATATAAATCCACACTGCGATTGTGAGAGCTATCAATTTTGGTAGTGTCCCGACGAGAGCAGTCGTAGGTATATGGCTTCGGGGTGTAAAGTATAATAATATAGTTCCACACGTTCTTTCATTCACTCGTTCTTTATATATATATATATAAATATATATGATATAGTCTCTTTCTCTGTGTCTCTCTCTCTGGACACGCCGAAACACTTTGCGGGGTTAAACCACCGTAAGGGGATAATTTTTTTTCTACTTATCCGTACGTTTTATTCCGTTCTCGATTCTAACAATCGATACTGCTTGCCACACTTCTTCCTTACCACGGCTTGCAAACCATTATATAGATTATACGTATTATATAAATATATAAAACCGCATCGAGTCCTTTGAAGTCGACAAAAGCGACATTTTCTACAACCACGAGATCGTTATTTTCTTCTAGCACACATGCTCGCCCACTTGTTTCAGAACGTCTTCGGCGCTGCTATTCGTATTTTATTCAGCAATAACTTGTTTTTCCTTCGGCGTATCTAACAAGAATTCACGTCGTTTCTTATTCGTACTACTCGAGGTGTTAGTGATGTATTCGTCGCAAATAACAAATTGTATATTATATTTACACTATATTATACAAAAGCAACTCACCAATCCATTAAATTATATCCGTTCATAACATGCGTATGATATTATTCATATTCTGACGTAGTGATAAATTAATTAAAAATTAAAAACGTCACTTGCACACGTGTCTACGTGTCTACGTCAGATGACCTTAATTATTATTATTACCATGCGATGTCTATAGATGTCGTTTCAAAACGAATAAAATTAATATAGTCACGTCGTCGCCGTTATAATAATAAATATTATTTCACGTCGAAATAGTATAGTTTTACTATAATTGTATTATGCATTGATGATACTATATAAATATAGTTTCAGCATACTAATACAATATACTAGCAGGACTCGCACACAGATATGATGCTATATTGCCTATTTACAGTGCCGTGTTATAAATGATAGCACTCTCGGCAACGTCAAAGTTTTATATTCTCTACCCCTCTTTCTCTCATTCACTATCACTCAATCACTTTCTATCTCTCTATCTCTGTTTATTTCACTCACTCGCGCACATACATTTATCACTAATGCTATCTCTCATGTAAACTTTATACCCAAAAGACATCGTAAAATGTTCATATTCGTTAGTCTATGTTTGACGTTATTTTCTATTTACTAGTATTTACACGTTCGATTAATATGTTTACACTTCACTCGTCAATGGTTTCTTTGAAAAATGTGAATATTATATTAATTATTGCGATCATGTATTTTTTAGTTTTGACATCAATGGTTTTAATTTAACGGATTCTAGAAATGTTTTTTTTTTTTTTTTATTGCACAAACGTTTAACTTGTGTAAATACGTAGTATTTGCGAGTAGTATAATTTTAAAACAACAGCATAATAAATTATAATAAATATTAATTATTTTAATTTAACTTTTTTAACAAAATACTACTGATTCGTTGCATTAAATACACGAACATTTATATGCAAATTTTATAACATCTTAATCATATGTACGTTTTTTAAGATCGCAATTTATAAATAGACCAAGTTACACTAAAAAAACGTCTTAATATTGCATAAAACAAAAATACGTGACAGTAAGTTGATTCAAATAAAATTTAATTATAACTTCATACTTCTCTATGACTATGATTTTTATTTGTATTGTAGTCAAATTATTTATTCGCTTGTGTATTGTTTGACACGCTGAAGTTTCAGACGGAAGCTTTTTTTGGTAGTAATCTGTTATTAATCGTTTAATTTTTTGCGCGACAAAACAGTTACACAGGGCGCTATAATTTACGCAATTTTGGAACCTATGGTCTGTAATAAATTATAAGACAATACGTTTATGTATACAACTTTTTAAGCTCGGACTTGAGAATAGTGCTTTTATTTTCTCACTCGAAAACACTCGCCTTTCAATTGAAATTTGCTGCAACTTTCTCTGTAGCAGTACATGCGCATAAACACACACAAACGCGTGCGCGTGCATAAATGTATGCGCACGAACGGCTGCGATACCAAATAGAATACAAACATTTTACGTTTATAATATACATATATAAATACGCACGTGTATGCTAAAAACATCGTGCGCATAACAAAGACTACGGGCAAATAAAAAGGAAAAATAAGCAACGACTATTAGACGACTTATACCCGAGTCTTAAAAGACTACTTTGTATGCACCACCCGCGATTGTTTTGCACCGAGACACTGATGAATTATAAACGAGTATCGTTGCAGCGAGTAGGAAAAAACAACTACAACGCTTGTCATCGGAAATCGTAACCTTTCTTTTCACCTTATCCCCCTTCTCCGACATAATATATCCGTGACAGCATTTAGCGACTTTTTTTCTCCCGTTTAAATCTGTCCTCTTGTGTCATACTGTACCACAACCACATCCGTCACTACTATACCACATAAATCCATTAGCACTTAATCACTAAACCTAAAGATAATACATTTTCTTTTTAATAATTTCTAATTCATTTTATATTACGCATTTTTTGCGTCCATAATAATATGATTATTAATTGCAATATTTTCTTGTACGTGTTACAGAATTTGGAATCGCAAGAGAAAAAACACATGATGCACAAGGACACCCTGAGCCGAGAGCATAGATATCTGCGGCGGAGACTAGACCAGTTGACCACCACATTAAATGTGAACAAACGCCGATCTGTGTCCGAGTCGAGTAGCTACACGACCGCATCTGGTGCATCAACATCGTCGTCCGCATGCAGCACGTCTTCGTCGCCATCTATATCTGAATCGGGTACGTCATCATGTATTTTAATAAAATAATAATATAAGCAATTATGATTATAATGATTAACGATTTACGTATTCTGAGAAAGACTTGGGGAGTGAAAGGAAAAAGGGTTGACCGACGGATTGATTATCGTCGGTTATCAAAATCATCGCGTTATAAACGAACACTTGAATTTTTTTTTCAACTCATGAGAGTTTTTGAGGGAGATGGTACCGCAAAAAAGGGCAAACTTATCTCCGAGTTAGTACCAAAGGTTTATATTATCTATACTGCTAAACTTATAATTATGTATTATAATTTTCGCACCAATCGACGGACGACCGCATGTACTATCATCAAAATTTAAGTGTTGTCTATATAAGCATTATTCAAAAGTTTTTTCCACAAATATTTCTAATACTTGCATAATTCATAAGCAACAGCCACATATACGCCTTATATAGGTGTGTATATACTCTTACATATTGTACGATTTCTACAGTCATTGAAATTAATAATGTATATGTTTTAATTATATTTTATTACTTCTTATCTTTTGCTTACATTGATAAATCATAATATTCTTAGAAAAAAGTATAGTAAATATTTTTGTAATCACACTTTTATTTCAAAATCTTAAATAGCCCATGTATAAAGTGTGACAAACAGACTTTACAAATAAAAAAAAAAAAAATAATACAAGTTAAACATAAAAAATAAAAATTATGAAAATTATGTGGATGATAAATAATTTAAGATTTACTTATGTATAAAAATTCTTGAAAATAATATTCTGAATAAAATTATTACGTTACAAATTAATTTATTTCAAACATTAATATTTTAAAAAATTATAAAAAATAAGCTACTTAAATTAAATAAACGTTCTTACCATTAAAATGTTTCTAAGAATTAGATTAACAAGTTGAATACTCTTATTTTTTCACAAAAAAAATATAATCAATTTTTATTTTTTATATTAAAAATAAAAATGAAATGTTACTTTACTTGAAGTGCGAGTATCTGTTGGTTATTTATAATTATATTGAAAACAAATTTAAAAATATTGATTAAAATAAATGTTATCTTATTTAACAAGTATTTATGTTATAACATGTGTACAATTGTTTAAATTTCGCATTTAATTTTACCGATCAATATAATTTATTACTTAACGTAGATGATACAAGTAATATTATATAGGTGCATAATATAACGTATTAGTTAAATATATAATTTTCAAGAATTCAATACTTTGCTTAAAATATGAAATAGAAAATTCTATTAAGTATAATAATTAAAAACCTTCAGAAAAAACCACGATATTGTTTGGCGGTAGCACTTCAAACCTATGTATCATCCTGATTATATATAAGTATAATACCACGGTATGTCACGCACCTCACAATATACTATTTAGTCACACGCAGAAATATTTACACGTCTTGAACATTTTATATCGTACATTTAAGATAACGATTTTCAATTAAAAATAAATATTAAGAATCAACACTATGCCGTGTATATATAGCGTACGTTTTGTGAGAGTCATATATATATATGTATATAAATAGTTCTCCTTACTACGCACTGCGTGCTCCAAGACCGCCGGCAGAGCCATTATTCGCAATACTCTTATAGTCAATAGCCATGTGCTTCACATACCTACACCGTGATATACATTATACTAGTGTAAACCGTACGTAGCCTCGAATGACGGGCTTTAAATTCATTTTCGATTACATAATTAAATTATTATAAGTAGCTGTCAGGCACATTTAGTGTTTTGTATTTCCGATCAGTGGACCAGAATGAGTATGAGTTGACGTGTTTTTAAACGATTTTTTTTTTTTTTAAGTTAATCGAATAATAAATTATCGTTAGTGGATTGTGACAGATGATTGACAAATTTTGATCAATCCTGACAGTGTATATCATATTATACACATAGCATCGCACGAAATTAAATTTTAAATTATATGTACAATTCCTATGTTAATACGAGTGATTATTTGTATGCAAATTTAATTAGTTTATGATGACCGTCTCGTCAATACACGAGTTTATTTCTATTATGTAATATATTATATTGTATATATTGTATTGATACACTACACATTTCATGGGGAAGGCCAATTTTAACGATTTCTCCAACACGGGTGAACACTACACTGATAATATGATCGTTTTAACTGTATTAAAACATTCGCTTCCTAAATTAATCAAATGAAACCCTCCAACGTGCAATTGTAAGGCGACGGAATGTATTCTAATCGAATTATATCATTACACATATTATATACGTAATACGATAATGCATAATTACCAAAATTATTATTTGACATTCAAAGGCTACATCAATTACGATATGTGATATAATTATAATAATAGAAAATGATAATTAACCATTAATGCATTTATATGAAAAAAATTACACTTCTACATCGTTACTATAGCCGCTTAGTGAATCTACTAATACCGTTTTCTATTATATTTTATCAAAGTATAGTAATTTTTCTATGTCTTTTTTTTTTATTTATAATAACGCTACCCTATCATCGCGTTTTCAAGAAATAGTTTACAAGTTATCCGATTATTACACATAATTTTATTTCAAAATATATTTACATATCGTCTCTTTCCATACTGATTTCCAAAAAATGTTGTCAGTAATCGTAAGCTGAACAAAATTTCTCCAAATCATCGAGCAATTTATTTGGAAGCATGAAAATATTATTAATATGCGTTTGCTCGCCAGAATACGAATATCAAATAAGAACCATAAGAATTTTTATTGCGAGCAAAGAACAAAAAACTCGAAATAAAACCTACAAACGTAGGGAAAGAAGAAAACACTTCGTAGCTCGTTAGTCGGCATCCCTCATTAGTTAGGACCAGCTTTTTATCCGTCCTTCCACGCTGTTCTGCAGGATGACGCCATCAGTCGGGTGGCAGTGATGGCGGCAGACGCATATTCAACTCGTTTAAATTAACTAATTTCTCCGCAATAAATTGTTTTTCGAGTGAATATCTTAGACCCGGGGCGTTCAAAGGCCACAGGGTCACGTCTTTGCGCCTTTTGCTCTCGTTAATTTCATTAATAAACTCAGCAAATAATGCTCTCGGACGAGTTTTCTTCTTTGCAGACCCAGGCTGACAGAAACGAAATTAAAAGACCGGAGGATTGATGAGACCGCCAATTTTTTCACTTCCGTAACTCCATCTCTCCCATTCAGCCTCCATCCATTTCCTCATCATCCTCTTTACCATTTTACACGATGGTAGGAAGAGTACGTCATTAAATTCAGCTTAAAGGTTTTCGCGGAAAAAAGACAATTCGCGTAATTATAAACCATTCTTTATAAGAGACTTGAACAACATATTATAAAATTATTAAAGAGACGAAAATGAATATCATAATTTTACTAAGACTGGAGTAAGGCCCCCAGCGGGTTATAATTTATAATAATATAATAATAGTAATGATAGTAATAATATAATTATATTATAATTTGATATTGGATCAGATTTAGTTCATTTAATTGTATACATACAACTGTTCTGTTCTCTACGCTTTGAATTTCAACTTTCTGACGTCTGTCTTCATATGCTGTGTAGTCAATAAAATATTTTAAAACATTTTCATTTTCAAAAAAACTGTGTTATTATATAGAAGTGCATGCAACAAGTATAGTTGTATAGCTATATACTAAAATATATTAGATGTGTGTAGTTGTAAATTTTAATACATATTTTATTTAACTATTTTCTACCGACATGTACATACTTGTAATAATATATATATATATATCGGTATAGTAGACATTTTGTTGTCAGTCCTATAAAAGAGTTTACAACTTAGTCATAATACATAGAGACCTTTTATCTGATCTTGGTTATCAATGTAACCGCATAATTACAAATACTATCATTATATATGATATAATCATAATGTATAATAAACAGCCTACCATAGAAAGTTATGTTACCACCGTCGTCAATAATCCCATTTATATCAGGTGAATCTTATTATCATAAACGCAAGCTTATTTTATAATTTTTGTAATTTACCGCAAAATATATTTATAGAAATAATAAAAAAAAAAAATGTGGAATACAATGCCGTAAAATCCTATAATGACTGGATAATATATCGCATTAATCAAAATGAAAAATAATCATCCTATATATATATAATATATTATTATATTTGGGTGAGATATTTTCAAGAAAACATTTTTAACGCATTTTATGACTTCCGTGATGGCGATTGGAGTAGTTTGGACGGATATAATGACGTATTAGAGAGCTGGTAAAAGAGAAAAAGAGAGAGTGATTGAGAGAGAAGACCCCTCGCGATTTACCGCGTTATTAGTTTTGAGCCCTCTGGACGCAGATAAAGAAAATTCGACGGAAAGAAAAACAAGACGAGAAAACGCGCAATAGGTGAAGGATAGGTGGTGGTCGCGGTGGGATCTCGTTTTCGACGCGAATTTCATCAATATATACATATATATATATATATACTTTTTTCCGCGCGCTCAATTTTCCGTTCCATTAACCGGTCGAATGGGTCTGCGGACGGAAATACGTCCGTCGTCGTCGGTTTGAATCGTTCCCGAGTAATTTGGACGGTATAACCACGCACACTGCTGCTCCGTAAAATATCTCCTTGCGCCGTCACCACCACCACACCATAAATACCCCCGCTTTACGAATTCACGCTTACCGCCATCTCTCTCTGATGAGGAAATAAGAAAAGTTTTAGTGCTCCGGTGCCCTAATCCTATGTCCAAACACAATATACATACATTATATATATATATATATATATTAAACATTTTATATGTGTGTGTTTGTGTGTATATTCACAATGCACATGTTTTAATAGTTGCACCGTGTGATGATCGTTCTGCTACGTATATTATATAACACGTTTTGTTGTTGTCCGGAGTATTGTTTGAAATTACACCGTGGTAGACGATGTCCGAAGATAATAATGATTATGGCCATGATTACAACTTAAATGACATTCTGCAACCATTCACCTGATGATGAACTGTGTTACTCCGCAACACAGCGATTGTTCCAAATAGATGTATTTATTTTTACGATTTTAAACTTAAAATAACTCAAGATAATATCCTACATTAACCATTGCATATAACAAACATTTTTGTCGAATTTGTCTATGTATGCGTCACGGGACGATAAAATAACATCGTAGTGTTTACATTAAACAAATATGAAATAATAATTATCTGAACTACGATTTTATTTCATGTTAATTTTTTTTTTTAAACAGAAATATTTATACAACTAAAATTATTAATTATAAATTATCGTTTATACTTCAGTACTCTTAATCGATACTCAACAAAACGTTTAAAGACTAATGCACGCATATAATATGTACCTGGAATTTTATCACGGCACTTAAATATTATAACATACATAAGACATATTACAGTATGTATGTTTTCTAGAATTATTAGAACCACATTAATTCATTTTCAACACGAGCGAGGAAAAACAACGAAAAGACTTATATTTATTCACATGCATAATATTGTTATTATTATTATTATTATTCATTCTGCCAGAGAGACGAAATCATGTGCTATGACGCGGTTTCTACCCTTCCTTGTACCGCGCGCCACAGCTCGTTAGGAAAAACTACTACGACGAAAATAACAATATATAATATATACATCCGTGACATTAATATTTAGAAAGCATCGTGTACATAATAATATATAACATTATATATTGTATTTTACGCATTTCAACATAAATCGTGAAATCCGAAGAAATACGTTTTGGCGCGTCGCACCTCCCACCGGAAAACCGCGAGACGCGGTGCGGGATTGGTTGTGTGCTGCGGAAAGCGGTGGCGTGTGTGGGCAAACACAGAGAATCCACCGACAACGGATGGTGGTGTTGGTGGTAACGGAAGATGGGAAAAAATAAAATACCGGGATAAATCAAAACCGGTGCTGGCGAAGCGACCGCGGTGAGAGAGAGAGAGAGAGAGAGTGAGAGGGGCTTTTGCGCGCCGGAAATCAAAACGGGCCTTATAACGACGACTACGATGGCGGCGGCGGCGGCAACGACAACGACGACGACGACGACGACGACGACAGTAGCAGCGGAGTTAGTGGTTTGGTCCCTGTGTAATTTATAGCGTTTAAAAACTATGCGCATTATTTACGGAACCCACCCCGAAATGAATTTCGCTACACGCGACTATGTACATAATAAATTTGTGTGTGTGTTTGTTATATGACGTTGCCACTTTTATTATATGTACATGTATGATGTATATAATACATACCGTGCTGCTGCAGTCGTCATCGTCATTATTATTATTATTATTATTATATTTTTCTCGCTCCCTAACTATCACCACACTGCTGGGCATATGATTTACGGCAGATCGGCAACGTTGCCGATCCTCCATGCGCGTTAATAATTCACCTCCACCGTCATCTCTAACCTCCTTTTCCTTGCCACACCGATGTGTTTACAGCAGTATACTCTATACACGATTACACACACGCACAAGCGCGCACCATATAATGTACGTTTGTACGTAGCTGTACCGAAACGGACGAAACAGATACATAGGGAAAATGATAGAAAAGGTGAGAAGGAGTGTGGCGGAAGAATAGATTTGCCCCGGACTGTAGATAAGCGTACACAACTGAGGATGTGAATGTAACGGCAAGTAGAAAGGATTGTACATTGAATAGCGGTGGCGACCACCGGATGACCCGAACGAATGCAATTAATACCGACGAGAAGAGATTTATTCTCTCGAGAACGACTACGGCTACAACGACGACGACACCCATTGCTTTGGTAATAAATCAACATCTCTCCGCCTATACCCTATACCCGAATTCTCGATTGGTAGTTAGTCCTTTTAGCCAATAAATTGGCCAGGACTGAACTTCTCTCTCATTATTTCTGTAGTGATGCCATACATCGTCATCGCGAACAGTTTGTTTCTAACGCCCTACATCATATAATGTATAATGGATATCTACTAAAATAATTATCTACGTAAGTAAGGTCTCTCAACTAGGTAACAAGTCGAGGGGTCGCCATCTGAACTAATTCAGAACAATATAGATTATCTGACTGTTTTAGGTCCTATAAGTACATATGATTCACAATAGTCGATTTTACTCTTCTAGCCTTTTATTATAACGAATGGTACATTAATTGGTACCTGCACTAAAATTATATTATAATTGTAGAGTTAAACGCAATGGTTTTTTATGGTGTTCTAAATTATCGATCATAATATGTTTTCATATTTTTCTTTTTATACTTAAAAGTTTATAGTTAAAATTTACAAGCATAACTTTATTTTTCAATTACTATTATGTTATTAAAAGTTTTATTTAGCGTAAATATAATATTATGTACGTATATAACAAGTTTAAAGTTTGATATTTTAAGGGTATAAAGATTGGTGAAAAATAGTGTAGATATTGGAAAGTATAATTTACGTTTCAATAAACCAAGAACGTGGCCGGATAAAAAGCGAAATATAATTATGCTCCGACCACTGTTTTTTAGATTTCGAGCTATGGATATGATACAGATGTATTGTTTTTGTTCCAAAATAAAAATGTAGGTACCAATTTTATAGTATAACGTGTATAATGTATACCTATGAAACCAAACATTGACTCATTTATTATTGACACAATTATGTTTTCATACGATATGAATTCTTATCTACTATATTATACTATAATATACGCATGCATTCTGTCCAGGTGAAACTGGTCTTATTGCTGCCCAACTAGTAAAAAATTATCAGGGAAAAAAAATATATGAAATAATATGACTGTAAATAGTGTATACAAAATAATTATTAACACCCTCACCACGCCACCATTATACGGTGTAAACGTCCGTATACCGTTAAAGTATACTCATTACTATTTACCGAATGCATTGCATTCTACATATATTAAGTATATATAAATAGGAATATATAATAAATATTCTAATTTTTTAATTTATATTTTGTTCAACAGACGAAGTGGACGTGACCGGATGGGTGAGCGACACAGGCAGCGTACAATCTGGGTCCAGCGATAGCGGCGTTGCACTCTCTACTTGCCGCATCACATTATCCGAAATGGTCTTTTAGACGTGAGTACAACAGCTTTTTATATTATAATCGTTACATCAGTATGATGTATTTTTCATACCACGGTTATTGTGAAATAATATTTTCATTGCGAAGCCGCGTTAAAAACATTCGTGATACACGCCCCTTATTATATGCAAGCACTGTTAAATACAATAATATTATAAGAACTGCACGCCAAAAAACTGTGTCGAATCAATAAGTGACCACCAAACTGACTTGGCAAAACAGAATTAATGACATTAAACGCTTCGATACGCGTCGTATATTAATTTTTCGGTTACAGAAATGATTAGCAATTATGCGTTTAAAAACATATTAAAAATATAATTGTCCGACTATGACATTAATTTCGATTACCAAATCATTACACTAAACCCGGTATAATGATTACGCCTATGCATTAGCGATCAACACACAATGTTTCTTATCGTATCGCGTTTTGGTGTTGTATTCGACAAGTCATTTCTCTAACTTATCTTTTGCGATATCTTTCACAGTGAGATACTCTTCTGCACCACATTGTCCGAGCCGCTACAACTGTAGGAAACTTATCTACTGTTAAATTAAAAATGTTAAACTATATCATAGTTACAATATTAACGTTATGGTAATATTATTTTTGTTTAGAAACAAATATATGTTGACCAAGACACGAAGAAGATGACGACGAATATAACGGCAAAGATGAAGAAAAAAAATAATATATTAATAAAAAAAAAAAAATAAAAATTATAATTATAATTAAAAAAAAAAATGTATGAAATAATATTTTAATTTATAAAACATATTTATATGTATATACACGTTAAAATTGTATACATGATATACGTATATATATATATGTGTGTGCGTTTGTGTATGTGTGTATATATAAATATATATATTATTTGTGAAACGCGTATATCAGCACCTCGAGAAAAGGCGCTTTTGACCGGAAGTCACTTAACCACTAACGGACGCGATACGATTACACGCTGACCGATTGGATGACGGCTATACGAAAACAATCACATTTTTTTTTTTTTTTTTTTTATTATTATTTTATTCAATCACTCTCTCTCTTTTCCAATCATTATTAATTCCTTCGCGCGTGTACTCACCCGAACCGCCGATGTCCACGACAAAAAAATTAAATAAATATATTATTTACTACTCAGCTCTAGTCACCAAATAATATTATATTATACAATTTTTTTTTTTTTTTCTTAAATTATTATTAATATTATTATTATTATTATTATTATTATTATTATTATTTTATACATTGGTGATTGGCCAGAACTCTCGTGGGAGAGGTGCAGATGATGGAAATGAACGATAATACAAATTATAAACGTCAACAATATAATATTATTATATATTACCTGTATGAATTTACATTTATATATATATATATATATATACGTATAACAACACACATATACAACAACTTTTAACCCTTACGCAATTTTATCAGTATCTCATTATTCGTAATTATTGTATTATTTCTTTCTTACTATTAGTATAATATAAAATATTATATTTACAATATAGACGTACAATTTTTTTTCTGTTATTACAATAATGATTTGCGGTATAATATTAATGTTTTATTATTATGTATAATTATTAAATTATTTTAATATTTACGTAGAATATTGTTTGTAAACGGTCGACGGCCATACGTGTCGCGACCGTCTAAATATATATATATATAATATATACTCACGTATAATTATATTTCTCATCAAACCAAAAAATAAACAGTCTCTCAATTTTTTTTTTTTTCTTGAATAAAAGTAGGTTTTCTTTTTACTTTTCATTTATTATACCAAAATGTACGACAACGTATATCTTTTGGTTGCGAATCGAATTTTAAGACGGAAATCGTTTATGAATATTATATTATGCGAGAATGATAACCAAACTCCCCTATTATAGATATATGTTTATTATTAAACAAGCGGGTTGGTTTTACGTAAGACTTATTTTATCAGACAATAATAGTGTTTTGTTTTTCAATATCATTTGAAGTACTCATAATATAGTATTACAATATCTATCTCTAAAAATACATGTTTGCAAAGTCTATTACTATTTCATCATAATGATATCTTAGTTACGTTAAATCCTTATTTTCAATTATATATTCTGTAACAAAATACAAAATGATTAAATAATAATTTCAATGCAAGACGAGTGGTTTGATAGGGCGACAGTGAACCCTACAGTAAATTTCTTCTCTACTACTCTAGTACCTCACTTGTCTCTAAACTCACTTCTGTGTGTCTGAAACTAATAATCGAAAAATTATCTTTTAACCATAAATGTAGTGTTATAATAGTACTTCGAATGTATGATAAAATTTATTTTAAAAATACAAAAACTACGGATTATTGACATCTATCTCACTCTCTCTATTTGTCTATGTATAGATTGGTTGACTTTCTCAAATACACAATGCGTAAACCTTAAATCGAGGGGAGAGTGTGGTTTAAGCTAACCCTCTGGGATGATGAAACGGATTTTCTGTTCACTCAGTCTCTTGATCTCACACGTTCCCATTTCAATGCCACAGTTTGCTTTTCCAGGAATACAGAACACCTCCCCAGAGTCTACAATCGTCCGGCCTATACGGTTTACCGGTATTCCCGTATGTGTATACACATCTATAATGATATACACCTTGGTGGCGCGTCGCGATTTTGAGAAAATATTCCTTTACTACAATATCTATTTGAGGCACAAAGTCGATGAGATAATGTATGTATCTACACGCGGTGTCGTTATGTGCCAATATAATACATATTAAGCCAAATGTAGTGTTCTATATTATTTAGAAACGTTGAGTCGGACGCATCGATCATATTTTTCTCTAAGGATTTCACGTACACTGCATTGAAATGGGTGTGTGCGTGTGAGGAGGGAGAAGCTCTCTCGAAGGTAAACATTTAATGTGTAATTTATGATATTATACATATATATTTTATTTTTTTTAGAATTTCCTGAAAACATACGTATTATTTTACATAGTCGCATATTATGTATAAAATATAATAAAACGTACCTTAATAAAATGGCCAGTACCTTCATTAATAATGTAATATTATGATAAACGTCCACGAGATAATATTATAAAATATATACATATTATGCATATAATTGTATCGTCGATTACATTGATTTTGGAAAATATTTAATTTATTCTAGAATATTATGATATATTATACTTATAGTGTTAACTATGCGAAACGATTTTGAAAATATTTTGTATATAATATATACCCATTGTGTACCTATTTTATTTTTTATTTTTTTATTTACCCCAGAACACAGGTGTTCTTTATTAGTTTCTGAAATAACGCGCACTCGACTGCTGTCGGTAAGATTACACGTGAAATATATATATAATACTAAAAATTAAAAAAAAAAAAAATAACAATAATTTCTCTTTTACATAGCATAGGTAACATAAAATAAAAATATTAGTATAAACTATAAAGATATTTATGCTCTACACGTTATATAGGTTACAACCATATTTTTTGTTTCTACTACTCGTGAAATTTATTAATATCGATCCTCAAATTTGCGTGTACACTAATATAATAAAAACAATAAAAAATATGTAAATACTCTTTGAAAAATAGTTGATTAGTGTTTAATTTTTACTAAGCGAACAAAATAATTTTTAACTATATTAAACGATAAATTTTACATGAAAAAAAAAAAAACTAAAATTAAATTTATGAGGATAAAAACTTCTTATTTAGGTGACTCAGAGCTAATTATTATAGCTTAAACAACTACTAATGGAAAAAAATGTATTATCTATCTTCTTAAAACTACATTTTTATGTAGAAATATATACACTTTGTTAAAATAAATTTTGTATCAGATTGTATCAAATCAGGCTTTAAATTTACATAATATGCACAATGTCCCGAGCATAGATGATTATCATTTTTATGTTTTTGTTGTAACTACAGTGCATTTTACACATTATGGGATTGCTTGTTAAATAGGAGAAATAAGAGAAATACACTCATACGGGTGGAAAATTGAAAACAAAACAAAAAAATTATACAGGGTCAAAACATTTTTAATTTATGATTTCATATCATATTTCTGAATCTTCTCTCCGTTTTTGTAAATGTCTACAATAATAATTATTACATATTATTATTCAAATTGAAAACATCTGGTGCAGTGAAGCACTCAAATCGTAAAAAAGAGAGAAGAAATTATACAGAGTGATTTAAGAACTATACTCTAAATTTTTCATTTAATGATAAATTTATATTAATTTTAATTCTAACTTTCGTAATTTTTAAGTACGCTTTCGTTTTATTAATCTGATGTTTCTTTAAAAACTTTTGATGCATGTAAATCGAAATTCAAAAAAATAATACAACAAGTACAACTGTAATAAATCAAGGATTATTATTCTTAATACATAAATATTAATAATTCAGGAACTACTAAATTGAAAAAATAAATACATTTCTTAAACTACAAAACACTTCTTAAATTAAAAAAACAAAAATCAAAACATCTTAAAATATTATAATCTTTTGTTATTTTTAAAGTTTTCAAAAACCAGAATAAAAAAATAAATGCATTATGAAAAGATAAAAGAGGAGTGAATATATTTAGTGAATTATCCTGTATAATAGCAAAATGATAAACAAGACAATAGAATTTCGTATGGGTAAAAATTAATCGGAATATGTACACGTGTTCTAAGTTAACATCAAACTGTTTTCTATTTGAATAATACGGAACTTTACTGTAGTATTACCAAGGATAACTAAACTATTTTGGCGAAAAACAGATTTCCAATAATAGCCTTAGAAATCAAGGCCGGTCAGAAACTTACAATCCTATTTAATGAACATTGAGATAAGTTCACGAGTAAGGCCTATTGGTGGCTGTATCTGATAGTTATATTTTGCACGGTCCTTAAGCAGAAAATGTCGATATTATTAACATAACTTAAAAGAAACCTCTCTAAAAACTGTACAAATTAAAAACAATAGCAAGTCGGAAAGACGTATAATAATTTGTGTCTTATCAGAATCGATAAGAAAAAAAAAATCAACCAATTTAGGTCACCTTGCAAAGAACTCGTTTTGTACTTTAGATTTAAGTTATTACGTTTTTTATTTAGGACCACAAAAAACACGCCTGGTACGGTATCGTTTACTTACGTGTATGTAATTCAAGTATATAGGTACAAGATAAAGATTATTTTTAAGTAAAAATAAAAGATATATTTTATTATGATTTTAAGTACTTTTAATACTGTATAGTATTGATACACTTTTGGAAACAATCCAATCTATTTTCCTTTCAATAATTATTTTATAAGTAGTTCAAAAAGATACATCCTGTGTATATCTGTCTATTGGTTCATACAAGCATGTACAGTTTTCCGTGAAACCGACAGTGTCTTATATGATTTACAGCAGCTAGGTTATAGACATGAAAATATTGCTTAACAACTTCATCGACCAAAATGTCCAAACGTCTTTCATTCGATATAATATTTTTTCACGTGTAAACCAATTTTCCACATGATCGATGTAAAAACTAATGAGAAACGAAAATAGGCGAAATAGTTCCGTTTTTTTTTTTTACTACATCGTTCCAGAGAGAGAAAAATACGAAGACGGCGCCAACAAAGCGATATCGGAAGCAGTGTCAGATC